CATTGTGGATGTAGAACTTAAAACAGGACTAATATATATATATATATTTAAAGGCTTTATTGTTTGCTAATATTATTTGTGGTCTAAATTTGGACCGGCTGATTTTTTTTTTTAAGGTTTTAGTTTATTAAAAAAAAAAAAAATGTGAAAATGAAGGAAACATAGAAACAGGAAAAGTCAGTTAACATGAGCAACATAAGATTAAAGTCGTAGGGAAGCGGCTGTTCCAATCGTTGCACTTCCGAATTCTCCCGAGTGGTGCCCGACTTTACACCAGTGAATAAAGTGAATGTGATTGGTCGATTATCGAGAGGGCGGGATTGTTGTGGCGGAAGGTTTGCAAGCAAGTTTGGTTGCGGCCGGTTTGTCTGAAGCATGTTGCTAACCAGTTAGCAACTTAGTGCTAGCAGGTTCCCAATGGGAAATTCCATTGGGACCAAGTAGCACTAAATTGGTGGCTTAGAAACGACGCTGTCAAGGAACGCTATGGACAGAGGAAACATGCAAGAGGAGGAGAGTTTAGTGTCGGAGGTCGTGGATGAGTCTCCTCCGTCATCCATTTTTTATTTAGCGGAGGAAAGCGGGGACGAAGATGTTGTGGAAGAGGACGCCAGGGCGGCAGAAGCTTGGTTTGGTGTAGAAGGCTTCCAGCCGTACATGTTTGAGCCCTTGCCTCGCAACGCTGCCAGTTCTGTTAGCTCTACGCCTGCCGAAGACACAGACGTCCATCCCCGTGAACACTGGGACGCAACTCAATGGGAAAGGAAAGTAATTTGCGACATAGGAATCAAGATGCTATGGCCGAAAAAATTTGATAGACAGACGACTGTTGATATGATTGGCCGAATTTAGGTGTTCAGGCTGACGTAGAACTAACTGGCCTGCAGAAGAAAAACTGATTTTAAGCCAGGATATCTTTTAAAAATAGAAATGGTCTAAATTTTGGGACAATATGATAAAGAGTACATTTATATACATGTTTAAGCCAGAATGATTTGAAATTTGAATATGACTTCCCTACGACTTTAATGTCAATAAAGTTCTTTACCTTTAATATCTCAGAACCGTCAAAATGACGGTCTTGTGAGTTCTAGTGTTAAATGTAAGGAAGTCATTCTGCTTCATTATCATCATTAGCATTCTAATATATATCAGCTGGTTCAGTTGTTTTGCCGTATGATGGAGACTGTATAAGACGGCTGTACCAGGAAACATGTTAAAGAGAATAACTTTGCCTGTAATGCTTTGCTTTCCTCCATGTTTCATTTCTTCTTCTTTGTCGTTCGCGACTGTTTGATCTCACATCATGAAGCATCCATGTTATTGTCAGCAGTGCGTTGTTGACTTGCTGCTTCCTCCATCCTGAATGAGGAAGCATCTCCATCATCTGCCACCAAAGTTAACTGCGATTAATGAATGGGAAACATTTAAAGCCGAGGGCCGCCGCCTGAAGCACAAACATCCAGTAAACGCCGCCGCGCTCCATCCGGTATTAACACTAACTGGCAGAAAATCTTTAACTTCTTATTGTTTTCCTTCTTTGCCTCCATTGCTTTAATTTGAACTTTAGCTGGAGAACACAGCGGGAATGAAAACACGAGTAAAAAGTCTTCAAATAGCTGCTTTATGAGCAAATAACCGGCTTATATGTAACATTTTGCATTGAAGCTTCCCGATTAAAGGTGTTTCTATGAGTGACCATGAGATTAAAATCTAGCAGATGTCCGTGAGTGGAGTTATGTTTGACACAAACCAATAAACTGAGAGATTAGGAACGAACAGGTGAGCAGAGGAGGTGGAGGAAGGTAGAGACACCAACAGGAACCTGAGCCTCTCTAACTAGAAGCTTTATCAAAAAGGAAAGTTTTAAGCCTAGCCTTAAAGTAGACAGGGTGTCTGCCTCACGGACTAAAACTGGTAGTTGGTTCCACAGGAGAGGAGCCTGAGAACTAAAAGATCTGCCTCCCATTCTACTTTTAGAAATTCTAGGAACCACTAGTAAACCTGCAGATTGAGAGCGAAGTGCTCTGTTAGGAACATAAGGAACAATCAGATCTCTGATATCAGATGGAGCTTGGCCATTTAAGGCTTTATATGTGAGAAGGAGGATTTTAAATTCTATTCTGGATTTAACAGGAAGCCAATGAAGAGAAGCCAGGATAGGAGAGATATGATCTCTCTTTTTCATTTTCATCAGAACTCTGGCTGCAGCATTTTGGATCAGCTGAAGGCTTTTAACTACAGTTTGTGGACTTCCTGATAGTAAAGAATTACAATAGTCCAGCCTTGAAGTAACAAATGCATGGACTAGTTTCTCAGCATCACCCCTGGACAGGAGATTTCTAATTTTTGCAATATTCCTCAGATGAAAGAAGGAAATTCTAGAAACCTCTTTGATATGGGATTTAAATGACAGGTCCTGATCAAAAACAACACCAAGATTTTTTACTTTATTATCTGAAATCAGTTTAATCCCATCCAAATGAAGTGACTGACTAATCAGTTTCTTTTTCAGAGACTCTGGTCCAAATACTATAACTTCTGTTTTGTCTGCATTCAGAAGCAGAAAGTTAAGAGTCATCCAGGTTTTTATGTCTTCAAGACATGCCTGTAATCTATGTAATGGGTTAGCTTCATCTGGATTTATAGACAGATATAGCTGGGTATCATCAGCATAACAGTGGAAATTAATCCCATGCTGACTAATAACTCTACCGATTGGGAGCATGTATAAAGTAAAGAGAATTGGTCCTAGCACTGATCCCTGTGGTACTCCACAGGTAACCTTTGAGCGTGTTGAAGATCTATCATTAACATGAACAAACTGAATTCGATCAGATAGATCAGATTTAAACCAGTCTAGTGCTGTTCCTTTAATTCCAACTAAATATTCAAGTCTTTCTAAAAGAATATTATGATCAACTGGATCAAATGCAGCACTAAGATCCAACAGGACGAGCACAGATACAAGTCCATTATCTGAGGCCATGAGAATATCATTAGTGACTTTCACCAGAGCTGTTTCAGTGCTATGATGAGCTCTAAAGCCAGACTGAAACTCTTCAAAAAGTTCATTATGGTGGAAGTGATCGCAAACTTGTTTGGCAACTACTTTCTCAAGAATTTTAGATAAGAAAGGAAGATTGGATATAGGTCTATAATTGACCAAGTCATCTGGGTCAAGAGACGGTTTCTTAAGCAGAGGTTTAATTACAGCAACCTTAAAAGCTTTAGGTACATATCCCTGTAACAGAGATAGATTAATCACATCTAAAATGGAGGAGGAGATCAAAGGGAATACCTCCTTAAATAACCTGGTTGGAACTGGATCTAACATCCAAATTATGAATCAGAGATGCATTCTAATAATCCTCAGTAACAGCCAGGAAACGTAATGACCAGGAAAAAAGTTAACAACAATCCACTGGACTTTGTTTCCAAGTTTGAAGATTTTTCTCTTCCATCCAGGAAGATTTTTCAATCCAAAATGTCAGAAATAGCGTTTAGTTCCAGGTTTTATCCAGCAGCCCAACAAAGCCTGGTTTTAGTTTAGAAAACATGCAAATAGAAACGGATGAACGGGTCCCCCCCTTTGGAATGGGGGTCGTTTGGCTTCTTTGTTAGCCTGCAATGCCCCATACCTGTCTATGTCTCTGAAAGTGGAGTTGTTAGAGGGAATGGTTGGCCTGGCTGAATAGGGGAGATCTTCTGCTCTCCTGTAAAGGGGTTGGGGCTGCACTGATAGCGGCTCTTCTGTGTTGGGCCATGCGTCTGTGTAGAGGTTGTTTGGTTTCTCCTATATAAAGATCAGAGCATTCCTCACTGCATTGAACTGCAAACACCACTCCGCTCACATTTAGGATGCACTAGTTTCTGTTTAAGGGTCTGTTTGGTTTGAAATGTTCTGGGATTTTCTGTTGGGAGAAAATCCTCTTGAGTTTTTCAGAGACTCCAGCAACATATAGGATTGAGATGTTTTTTTATTCTTCTCACTGTTATGTTCTGCTGCGTATCTTTTGGATTACCTTCCTGATTTAGCAAACACCCAGTTTGGGTAAACAAAGGTTTGGAGACCATCTTTGATGTGTTTCTGTTCTTCTGTTTTAGTAGGGACGTACTCGGCCTGGTGTTGGAACGTTCTGATTACTGAGAGTTAGTGTTCCAGTGGGTGGTGTAAGTCAGAGAGAAGATTTTGGTCAGTGCACGTGGATTTCCAATACACTTCAATGTTGAGAAATCTCTCTCCAGGAAAGGTAGCTTGTTGTCTTTGCCATCCTCTCCTGTGGTCCTCTGAGTTGCCACACCACAATATTTGATGTGGTTGGAAGTGAGAGATGTAGTGAAAAAACAGAGCGCTAACACATGGATGGGTTACTGAGATCTGACATTGGAAACTGCCTCATTGTTGCCAAAGACAATCATCACTGCATCAACCATAGGAGGGATGAGTGGAGTCTCTGTAGTGGACGTCTGCTGCCATCTGTTGGATGATGGAGGTTAGACAGGATTCAGTGATATAAACCAGGCAGCAGAGGAGCAACGTTAATCTGCCACTGGATGGTTTATATTGAGTGAATTTCACCTCAGTTTCACTGCATCTGATTCATAGATAGATAGATATACTTTATTTATCCAAAGCTGGGGAATCACAGTGTAGCAGCAGCTTTACACATAGTGACAGTCACAACAAATGAGGTAAAAAGTGTCAGTAGAGATAAAGCCAGTGGATCAGGCGGCCCAGCCCTGGAGGTCCGATCATCCTGGACCTAAGAGGAGAACTTCAGCTGAGGAGGTAGTTGGACCTTTTCATTCTGGGGGGGCTGGATAAGAGGATGTTAAAACAATGAGGCATCCTAACATCTGAACTGCTCCCTCAGATCTGACCGACCCCCAGGATGAGGAAGCAGTCAACTTATTATAACACAACATTTTTTTTTCCGGTGTCGTTTCTTTCCTTCCGTTTTTGTTCTGACGCGGTTTTCTCTCTCCATGTGTTTCAGATCCAACGCTCCAGAAACAAGCAGATGAGGGAAATGTTCCCAGAAGGCTTTGGGATCCACCACGCCGGCATGCTACGCTCCGACCGCAGCCTGATGGAGAGCAGCTTCTCCAAAGGCCACCTGAAGGTGCTGGTCTGCACCGCCACCCTGGCCTGGGGGGTCAACCTGCCGGCCCACGCCGTCATCATCAAGGTCCTCATTTCAATTGATCCTAGACTTTAGCATGTTTGCTCATTTCCTGCCTCCCACCTGTGAGCCGAGCCGGCGGTGAAATAATGATTAGTCTAAACTGCGGCTGGATTCACCTCTGCTCCTCTGCTGCGTCCAACAGGGAACTCAGATCTATGATGCAAAGCGTGGCACTTTCGTGGATCTGGGAATCCTGGACGTCATGCAGATCTTTGGCCGAGCGGGTCGACCTCAGTTCGACAAATACGGCGAGGGAACCATCATCACCACCCACGACAAGCTGAGCCACTACCTGACCCTGCTCACCCAGCAGAACCCCATCGAGAGTCAGTTCCTGGGCAGCCTGGCCGACAACCTGAACGCTGAGGTCAGTCTGCAGACCAGCTGTGCTGCAATGGGGGGGCTTCCTTTGCTGCTTCCAGCTAAGTTTTAACGAGGCGCCTCAGTTTCATCATCTTCTAAAACGCTGGAGGGAACCTGAAGATGAAAGAGATCAGGGTGAAGTTCTGGGCGTCAGAATGTCCAGCTTCTGTTCAGCAGACAGATCACACTCAGGATAACAGATTCAGCACACAGATCAGCTTCACCTGAACGCTGCTTTAAGGAATGATGCCCAACATCAAACAGAACCGAAGAGAATAGAATACCATAAAACAGAACAGAATAGAATAGAATACCATAAAACAGAATAGAATAGAATAGAATACCATAAAACAGAACAGAATAGAATACCATAAAACAGAATAGAATACCATAAAACAGAATAGAATACCATAAAACAGAATAGAATACCATAAAACAGAATAGAATACCATAAAACAGAACAGAAGAGAAAAGAATACCATAAAACAGAACAGAATAGAATACCATAAAACAGAATAGAATACCATAAAACAGAACAGAATAGAATAGAATACCATAAAACAGAATAGAATAGAATAGAATACCATAAAACAGAACAGAATAGAATACCATAAAACAGAATAGAATAGAATAGAATACCATAAAACAGAATAGAATAGAATAGAATACCATAAAACAGAACAGAATAGAATACCATAAAACAGAATAGAATACCATAAAACAGAATAGAATACCATAAAACAGAACAGAAGAGAAAAGAATACCATAAAACAGAACAGAATAGAATACCATAAAACAGAATAGAATACCATAAAACAGAACAGAACAGAATAGAATACCATAAAACAGAAGAGAATAGAATAGAATACCATAAAACAGAACAGAATAGAATACCATAAAACAGAACAGAATAGAATACCATAAAACAGAAGAGAATAGAATACCATAAAACAGAACAGAATAGAATACCATAAAACAGAAGAGAATAGAATAGAATACCATAAAACAGAACAGAATAGAATACCATAAAACAGAATAGAATACCATAAAACAGAACAGAAGATAATAGAATACCATAAAACAGAATAGAAGAGAATAGAATACCATAAAACAGAACAGAATAGAATACCATAAAACAGAACAGAATAGAATACCATAAAACAGAAGAGAATAGAATAGAATACCATAAAACAGAACAGAATAGAATACCATAAAACAGAATAGAATACCATAAAACAGAACAGAAGAGAATAGAATACCATAAAACAGAAGAGAATAGAATAGAATACCATAAAACAGAACAGAATAGAATACCATAAAACAGAATAGAATACCATAAAACAGAACAGAAGAGAATAGAATACCATAAAACAGAATAGAAGAGAATAGAATACCATAAAACAGAAAAGAATAGAATAAAATACCATAAAACAGAACAGAAGAGAATAGAATACCATAAAACAGAATAGAATAGAATACCATAAAACAGAAGAGAATAGAATAGAATACCATAAAACAGAATAGAATAGAATACCATAAAACAGAAGAGAATAGAATAGAATACCATAAAACAGAACAGAAGAGAATAGAATACCATAAAACAGAAAAGAATAGAATAAAATACCATAAAACAGAACAGAAGAGAATAGAATACCATAAAACAGAATAGAAGAGAATAGAATACCATAAAACAGAAAAGAATAGAATAAAATACCATAAAACAGAACAGAAGAGAATAGAATACCATAAAACAGAATAGAATAGAATACCATAAAACAGAAGAGAATAGAATAGAATACCATAAAACAGAACAGAATAGAATACCATAAAACAGAATAGAATACCATAAAACAGAACAGAAGAGAATAGAATACCATAAAACAGAAAAGAATAGAATAAAATACCATAAAACAGAACAGAAGAGAATAGAATACCATAAAACAGAACAGAATAGAATACCATAAAACAGAAGAGAATAGAATAGAATACCATAAAACAGAACAGAATAGAATACCATAAAACAGAATAGAATACCATAAAACAGAACAGAAGAGAATAGAATACCATAAAACAGAAGAGAATAGAATAGAATACCATAAAACAGAACAGAATAGAATACCATAAAACAGAATAGAATACCATAAAACAGAACAGAAGAGAATAGAATACCATAAAACAGAATAGAAGAGAATAGAATACCATAAAACAGAAAAGAATAGAATAAAATACCATAAAACAGAACAGAAGAGAATAGAATACCATAAAACAGAACAGAAGAGAATAGAATACCATAAAACAGAATAGAATAGAATAGAATACCATAAAACAGAACAGAAGAGAATAGAATACCATAAAACAGAAAAGAATAGAATAAAATACCATAAAACAGAATAGAATAGAATAGAATACCATAAAACAGAACAGAAGAGAATAGAATACCATAAAACAGAAAAGAATAGAATAAAATACCATAAAACAGAACAGAAGAGAATAGAATACCATAAAACAGAACAGAAGAGAATAGAATACCATAAAACAGAACAGAAGAGAATAGAATACCATAAAACAGAACAGAAGAGAATAGAATACCATAAAACAGAACAGAATAGAATACCATAAAACAGAACAGAAGAGAATAGAATACCATAAAACAGAACAGAATAGAATACCATAAAACAGAACAGAAGAGAATAGAATACCATAAAACAGAACAGAAGAGAATAGAATAGCATAAAACAGAACAGAATAGAATACCATAAAACAGAACAGAAGAGAATAGAATAGCATAAAACAGAACAGAATAGAATACCATAAAACAGAACAGAAGAGAATAGAATACCATAAAACAGAAGAGAATAGAATAGAATACCATAAAACAGAACAGAATAGAATACCATAAAACAGAATAGAATACCATAAAACAGAACAGAAGAGAATAGAATACCATAAAACAGAAGAGAATAGAATAGAATACCATAAAACAGAACAGAATAGAATACCATAAAACAGAATAGAATACCATAAAACAGAACAGAAGAGAATAGAATACCATAAAACAGAAAAGAATAGAATAAAATACCATAAAACAGAACAGAAGAGAATAGAATACCATAAAACAGAATAGAATAGAATACCATAAAACAGAAGAGAATAGAAAAGAATACCATAAAACAGAACAGAATAGAATACCATAAAACAGAATAGAATACCATAAAACAGAACAGAACAGAATAGAATACCATAAAACAGAAGAGAATAGAATAGAATACCATAAAACAGAACAGAATAGAATACCATAAAACAGAACAGAATAGAATACCATAAAACAGAAGAGAATAGAATACCATAAAACAGAACAGAATAGAATACCATAAAACAGAAGAGAATAGAATAGAATACCATAAAACAGAACAGAATAGAATACCATAAAACAGAATAGAATACCATAAAACAGAACAGAAGATAATAGAATACCATAAAACAGAATAGAAGAGAATAGAATACCATAAAACAGAACAGAATAGAATACCATAAAACAGAACAGAATAGAATACCATAAAACAGAAGAGAATAGAATAGAATACCATAAAACAGAACAGAATAGAATACCATAAAACAGAATAGAATACCATAAAACAGAACAGAAGAGAATAGAATACCATAAAACAGAAGAGAATAGAATAGAATACCATAAAACAGAACAGAATAGAATACCATAAAACAGAATAGAATACCATAAAACAGAACAGAAGAGAATAGAATACCATAAAACAGAATAGAAGAGAATAGAATACCATAAAACAGAAAAGAATAGAATAAAATACCATAAAACAGAACAGAAGAGAATAGAATACCATAAAACAGAATAGAATAGAATACCATAAAACAGAAGAGAATAGAATAGAATACCATAAAACAGAATAGAATAGAATACCATAAAACAGAAGAGAATAGAATAGAATACCATAAAACAGAACAGAAGAGAATAGAATACCATAAAACAGAAAAGAATAGAATAAAATACCATAAAACAGAACAGAAGAGAATAGAATACCATAAAACAGAATAGAAGAGAATAGAATACCATAAAACAGAAAAGAATAGAATAAAATACCATAAAACAGAACAGAAGAGAATAGAATACCATAAAACAGAATAGAATAGAATACCATAAAACAGAAGAGAATAGAATAGAATACCATAAAACAGAACAGAATAGAATACCATAAAACAGAATAGAATACCATAAAACAGAACAGAAGAGAATAGAATACCATAAAACAGAAAAGAATAGAATAAAATACCATAAAACAGAACAGAAGAGAATAGAATACCATAAAACAGAACAGAATAGAATACCATAAAACAGAAGAGAATAGAATAGAATACCATAAAACAGAACAGAATAGAATACCATAAAACAGAATAGAATACCATAAAACAGAACAGAAGAGAATAGAATACCATAAAACAGAAGAGAATAGAATAGAATACCATAAAACAGAACAGAATAGAATACCATAAAACAGAATAGAATACCATAAAACAGAACAGAAGAGAATAGAATACCATAAAACAGAATAGAAGAGAATAGAATACCATAAAACAGAAAAGAATAGAATAAAATACCATAAAACAGAACAGAAGAGAATAGAATACCATAAAACAGAACAGAAGAGAATAGAATACCATAAAACAGAATAGAATAGAATAGAATACCATAAAACAGAACAGAAGAGAATAGAATACCATAAAACAGAAAAGAATAGAATAAAATACCATAAAACAGAATAGAATAGAATAGAATACCATAAAACAGAACAGAAGAGAATAGAATACCATAAAACAGAAAAGAATAGAATAAAATACCATAAAACAGAACAGAAGAGAATAGAATACCATAAAACAGAACAGAAGAGAATAGAATACCATAAAACAGAACAGAAGAGAATAGAATACCATAAAACAGAACAGAAGAGAATAGAATACCATAAAACAGAACAGAATAGAATACCATAAAACAGAACAGAAGAGAATAGAATACCATAAAACAGAACAGAATAGAATACCATAAAACAGAACAGAAGAGAATAGAATACCATAAAACAGAACAGAAGAGAATAGAATAGCATAAAACAGAACAGAATAGAATACCATAAAACAGAACAGAAGAGAATAGAATAGCATAAAACAGAACAGAATAGAATACCATAAAACAGAACAGAAGAGAATAGAATACCATAAAACAGAAGAGAATAGAATAGAATACCATAAAACAGAACAGAATAGAATACCATAAAACAGAATAGAATACCATAAAACAGAACAGAAGAGAATAGAATACCATAAAACAGAAGAGAATAGAATAGAATACCATAAAACAGAACAGAATAGAATACCATAAAACAGAATAGAATACCATAAAACAGAACAGAAGAGAATAGAATACCATAAAACAGAAAAGAATAGAATAAAATACCATAAAACAGAACAGAAGAGAATAGAATACCATAAAACAGAATAGAATAGAATACCATAAAACAGAAGAGAATAGAATAGAATACCATAAAACAGAACAGAATAGAATACCATAAAACAGAATAGAATACCATAAAACAGAACAGAAGAGAATAGAATACCATAAAACAGAAAAGAATAGAATAAAATACCATAAAACAGAACAGAAGAGAATAGAATACCATAAAACAGAACAGAATAGAATACCATAAAACAGAAGAGAATAGAATAGAATACCATAAAACAGAACAGAATAGAATACCATAAAACAGAATAGAATACCATAAAACAGAACAGAAGAGAATAGAATACCATAAAACAGAAGAGAATAGAATAGAATACCATAAAACAGAACAGAATAGAATACCATAAAACAGAATAGAATACCATAAAACAGAACAGAAGAGAATAGAATACCATAAAACAGAATAGAAGAGAATAGAATACCATAAAACAGAAAAGAATAGAATAAAATACCATAAAACAGAACAGAAGAGAATAGAATACCATAAAACAGAACAGAAGAGAATAGAATACCATAAAACAGAAAAGAATAGAATAAAATACCATAAAACAGAATAGAATAGAATAGAATACCATAAAACAGAACAGAAGAGAATAGAATACCATAAAACAGAAAAGAATAGAATAAAATACCATAAAACAGAACAGAAGAGAATAGAATACCATAAAACAGAACAGAAGAGAATAGAATACCATAAAACAGAACAGAAGAGAATAGAATACCATAAAACAGAACAGAAGAGAATAGAATACCATAAAACAGAACAGAATAGAATACCATAAAACAGAACAGAAGAGAATAGAATACCATAAAACAGAACAGAATAGAATACCATAAAACAGAACAGAAGAGAATAGAATAGCATAAAACAGAACAGAATAGAATACCATAAAACAGAACAGAAGAGAATAGAATACCATAAAACAGAACAGAAGAGAATAGAATACCATAAAACAGAATATAATAGAATAGCATAAAACAGAACAGAATAGAATACCATAAAACAGAACAGAAGAGAATAGAATACCATAAAACAGAACAGAATAGAATACCATAAAACAGAACAGAAGAGAATAGAATACCATAAAACAGAATAGAATAGAATACCATAAAACAGAATAGAATAGAATACCATAAAACAGAACAGAAGAGAATACCATAAAACAGAACAGAAGAGAATAGAATACCATAAAACAGAACAGAATAGAATACCATAAAACAGAACAGAAGAGAATAGAATACCATAAAACAGAACAGAATAGAATACCATAAAACAGAACAGAAGAGAATAGAATACCATAAAACAGAATAGAATAGAATACCATAAAACAGAATAGAATAGAATACCATAAAACAGAACAGAAGAGAATAGAATACCATAAAACAGAATAGAATAGAATACCATAAAACAGAACAGAACAGAATAGAATACCATAAAACAGAACAGAAGAGAATAGAATACCATAAAACAGAACAGAAGAGAATAGAATACCATAAAACAGAACAGAATAGAATACCATAAAACAGAACAGAAGAGAATAGAATACCATAAAACAGAACAGAATAGAATACCATAAAACAGAACAGAAGAGAATAGAATAGCATAAAACAGAACAGAATAGAATAGAATACCATAAAACAGAACAGAAGAGAATAGAATACCATAAAACAGAATAGAATAGAATACCATAAAACAGAATAGAATAGAATACCATAAAACAGAACAGAAGAGAATAGAATACCATAAAACAGAATAGAATAGAATACCATAAAACAGAACAGAACAGAATAGAATACCATAAAACAGAACAGAATAGAATACCATAAAACAGAACAGAAGAGAATAGAATACCATAAAACAGAATAGAATAGAATAGCATAGAACACCTTTACTGTAATATTTAAAACAATAACATTCAAAGAACCAGTTTCCAGGAAAATGTAAAAATGTAGCAATAAAAGATTTAGTAATCTAGCTAACTAGCTGGTTAGCTAGTTGGCTTGTTAGTTAGCTAACAATCCGTAGGTAATTGTGTCCCTGTTCATAATTAAAAAGAATGAGCTCCAAGTTAATTTCTAACAGATGAAAATAATAAAACCTATAAATGAACTCGTTCCGTTGGTAAAGGAAGTCACAGTCCTTCACAATAAAAGCTCACATTTCACCCTTTAAATGGAGAAGCTGGTTGTGAATGCGTTCCTTCTCAGTGGGCCTGCAGCGCCTCCATGAGGTGGAATAGATGATTTAATGCTCAGCATGATGAGTGGCTACCAGCCCATTATACTGGTGGTCCAATCAGAACCTCAGGAGCCTGGAACGGATGCCATCTGGACCTGCTGCCTCTTACGGCTCCTTCCTCACCCGAAGCATTAAAAGGGACGGAGGGGCAGCGGCGTTCGGCCCTCTGGGACTCTAGAGCAGCGGCAGTGTGACCTGCCTGAGGGTAGAACTGGATCGGCCCATTTCCCGTCCATAATGATGGTTCTGATCCGTCGCAGACGGCTCATCGTTCAGGACCAGCGGCTTAACCAGTTCATACCTGGACATGCTGAGGTTCTCCATCAGGATAACTGAAGCACAGAGGCAATCAATCAACTTCAGGACAATCCTGATCAACTCGGCTTTAAGCTGAGGACCAGTTTGACAGCAGGAAGCTCATCCACAGCTTCAGGAGCTGGAAGGATGTCCTGATGTCAGAGTTCTGCTGTTCTCTGTTTTAAAATTAACTGGATCCTTTAAACGGACTGATCCATCAATCAGTCATCAAACTAAACTCAGAGAAGATAAACGCGTTATTAGTTCAGCTGCATGAGGAGCCTTTAAAGTGCACCACATTAAAACCGACCAGTGCTCCATATTCAGATAGCAGGTTTATTTCCACCTCTCTGATAAATCAGACCAAACTCTGCATGGCTGAAGGTCTGATGAGCAGACTGACCAATCAGTTCAATTCAGTTTATTTCAGGGTTTCCGCGGGTCATTAGAAATTAAGTGGAATTAAATTCACAGCCAAACAGGAACATACCAGATGAAGCTGCTATGAGAAAAAGCAGAGAGCAGAACGTTAGAGATTGAACTAATAGATTCTGCATAGTGGGAGAATAGAGATAGAATGAAGCAGAATGATGAAAAAGGGGTCCCTATGTCCTCCAGCAGTCTAAGCCTATAGCAGCAGAACTATAGAGATAGATCAGGATAACCTGAGCCACTCTAACTAGAAGCTTTATCACATCACTGCCTCAGTAGTCAGAGAAACCCTCTCTTTTCATCTGCTGAACATATTGCCACCATTGAAAATAAAACATTTCCTATGGTAGAAAACATTTTCTATCAAAAATTAACAGTTTGTTATCTCCTTGTGTGTTTTTCACTCATTTCTGAAAAAAAAAACCCTCCAGAAATGTAAAAACTAATGAGAAATTAACTGTTTGTTAAACAGTTTGGGTTAGCTTGAGCTAAATGGATGGAAATATTTGGAGCTGCAGTTTCATGAAGAATCCAGGAGATGGCAGCAGAGACCACTGATCATTTCCTCTGTGCTGCAGGTTTCCCTGGGGACGGTGACCAATGTGGAGGAGGCTGTGAGGTGGCTCAGCTACACCTACCTGTACGTCCGGATGAGGGCCAACCCTCTGGCCTACGGCATCAACCACAAAGCCTTCCAGGTGGGCGGAGCCTCCACTTTCTCTGAGATCATGGAAGAGGTCCTCCTAGATTCTAGCTGGCCTTAATGCACAGAAAAAGAGGCGAGCTGCAGGAGAAAAACTCAGTTTTATGTCAGATGGTAGAACTACCTGCTGATTCAGGGATGCTTTTGATTCTGGCTGCTAACAGCTGATGCAGATGAAGGTAAAGTTTGATTCTGGTTGCTTACAGCTGATGAAGATGAAGGTAAAGTTTGATTCTGGCTGCTAACAGCTGATGAAGATGAAGGTAAAGTTTGATTCTGGCTGCTAACAGCTGATGAAGATGAGGAAGAATTAAACAGGAAAGCGAAGCCTTGGCTGAATGTTGGTGGATGTTGTGTTGATTCCTTGGTTTCTCCTCAGATGGATCCGGCTCTGGAGCTCTACAGGAAGGAGCTGGTGGTGGAGTGCGGCCGGAAGCTGGACAAGGCCAGGATGATCCGCTTTGAGGAGCGCACCGGCTACTTCGCCTCCACGGACCTGGGCAGGACCGCCAGCCACTTCTACATCAGATACAACACCATAGAGGTAGATGTATTAGATAGAGGAAGTCCTTATGCACCAGGCTGGAGTCTCAGAGGTGTTTGTTTTTTACTGGTTCTTCTAACTGAAACTACTCTGACCTATCTTTCACTTCCTTCTCATCTGAAGACGTTCAACGAACTTTTTAACTCTCAGAGGACTGAAGCAGACATCCTGAGCATCGTGTCCAAAGCAGAGGAGTTTGATCAGCTGAAGGTAGGAGGATCTGGACCCGACCCGTCCTCGTTGAGCCCAGTTCAGCCCTCGGCCTCACCGGCCCAGTGTCTGTTCTCAGGTCCGCGACGAAGAGATGGAGGAGCTGGAGATGCTGTCGAGCTACTGCCACCTCGCAGCAGCAGGGGGGGCGGAGAACAGCTACGGCAAAGTCAACATCCTGCTGCAGACCTACATCAGCCGGGGAGAGGTGGACAGCTTCTCGCTCATCTCCGACCTCTCCTACGTGGCCCAGGTGAGGAGGGACGGATCGTCACCGCGTCGGCAAAGATAAAACGTTTTAGAGAAACAGAAAATAAAGACAAAGTGTGAGATCTAAAACAAATGTTTAAAACATCGGGGGTTCGATTTTAGGGGCTGTGAAATGATTGACAACCAAGCCTCAGTTTCCAGAATATTCCTTAGTTTCTTCAGGCCTGATTAAACAGAGAAACCTGTAAAACAATCTGTATCAACCTGCCAGCATGATGGAAGGTTCATTTTTAGGGACTCATCGATTGGTCTGCTTCTGATTTCCTTCATCCTGCAGATCAGTGATCAACCGACCTCTGAAAAGGTCAAAAAATCAGCCGCTGTCAACAATCTAAACATTCTATACATTATTGACAGCAACATGAAATATGGATCTGTGATCAACTGATGACGAATTCAGGTTTAGTTAGAATGGGAACCAGCATGTCAGGGCGACTCTTTATCATTGATTGATCGACTTTACTGATCTCGGAGTGGAGAAATTTACTCGCTGCATCAGCTCAATAGTCAAAGAAGAAAAAGGTGCAGGGGATATGATCAGTTTATTTCTATAGCTCCAATTCACATCATGTCATCTCAGGTCACTTTCCAGTTCACCAGATCATCCAGTCAGATTGATTCAAAGTTTTCTATCTAAGGAAAACCGGCTGATTGCATCGACTCATTGACTCTTCAGCAATCCCTCACACTAAGCATGCTTGTAGCGACAGTGGAGAGGAAAAACTCCCTTTGAACAGGAAGAAACCTCCAGCAGAACCAGGCTCAGTGTGAGCGGCCATCTGCTGAGGCCCACTGGGGTTCAAGGAGACAGAAGCAGACATAGAAAAAGAAGCATAGATACAAAAGGCAACTGTCAACCAGCTCCACAGGCGGCCCCGTCCAGGAAACACACAGCCAGGCAGACGAGCTCCGAGCCAGCTCCCATGTCAGAGGATGAAGAGAGCACATCCAGTTAGTCACAGTCAGAGAAACAGGACCACACTGGAAAACAGGCCAAGCTCCAACATCTAGAAACAAAGGTGTTGATGGCAGCAGCACAGCTGATGTTTCTCTCCAGGATGGAGTCACAGCCAAACAGGAACAGACCAGATGAAGCTACTATGAGAAAAAGCAGAGAGAGCAGAACGTTAGAGATTGAACTAACAGATTCTGCAGAAGAGAATAGAGATAGAATGAAGCAGAATGATGAAAAAGGGGTCCCTATGTCCTCCAGCAGTCTAAGCCTATAGCAGCAGAACTATAGAGATAGCTCAGGATAACCTGAGCCACTCTAACTATAAGCTTTATCAAAAAGGAAAGTTTTAAGCCTAGCCTTAAAAGTAGACAGGGTGTCTGCCTCACGGACTAAAACTGGTAGTTGGTTCCACAGGAGAGGAGCCTGAGAACTAAAAGATCTGCCTCCCATTCTACTTTTAGAAATTCTAGGAACCACTAGTAAACCTGCAGATTGAGAGCGAAGTGCTCTGTTCATGATGACCGATCGATACTTCCAGCTCGTTGCCCTAAGAAACACAGCCTATAATCGCTGAGTTATCAGAGAACTTCTGGAGATGGCAGCTGTGTTCTCTAGGTGAAGTCCGAAGTGTGAAGAGGAAAGGAAGCAGAATGCCGCCTCTGACTGACGGCCATGAATACCTGAGAGGAATCGGATCCGTTCTGTTGGTTTATTCTGCTGCTTCGTTTAGATTCAGACAGAAAGAAAAACCTTCTGAGGAAAAGAATCGGTTTGCCTGGAAATCAGAAAATAAAACAATTCCTTAGATGGTGGATTCAGTCTGTTTCTGACCTGTTTGATTTGTTGTTGGATGGTAAACATCCAGTGTGAGGAACTGATTCACGGTGGAGGTTTTTGGAAGCGCTCAGTGCTGTCCTCTGGTCTGGTCCTGAACTCAGAGTTCACAGTGGGAACCAGGATCCCAGTCAGAGCTGCAGCTGCGGCCGCCCTCAGGTCTGAAGCTAACCCAGCATCCAGCTGCTCCACATCAGCCCTGTGATCCAGCTGTTAGCATCACTCTGCTGCTACAGCGGCGTGTAGCTCTGCCGACTCAGCGGGTTTTTCTCCTGATTCCACAGAACGCGGCTCGGATCGTCCGGGCGTTGTTCGAGATCGCCCTGAGGAAGCGCTGGCCCGCCATGACCTACCGCCTGCTGAAGCTCTGCAAGGTGATCGACAAGCGACTGTGGGACTTCGCCCACCCGCTCCGCCAGTTCCCCACCCTGAGCCCCAGCGTCCTCAACCGCTTGGAGGAGAAGAGGCTGACTGTGGACAAACTGAAGGAGATGAGGAAGGATGAGATTGGTAAAGAAAACAATTTCTATTCTTGAGCTAATTCTAAATGTGGTGGTTGGTCAGGTGGCGTGAAGGGCTCGATCGGAGGCGCCCTCTGGTAGGTCAGACATCCTGATGGATGAGGGAACTCAGGTGTGTGACTCTGCTGGTGTTCCCAGGCCACATGCTGCACCATGTCAACGTCGGAGTGACCGTCAAGCAGTGCGTCCACCAGATCCCCGCCCTCACCATGGAGGCCAGCATCCAGCCAATCACACGCACCGTGCTACGCGTGCGCCTCCTCATTACTCCTGACTTCCGCTGGAACGACCAGGTACACAAACTCATCATCATCAGTCAGCCTGATGCTTTTCATTTATAGAACAAAGTAAAGGTGAAGCGGGGTCTGGCCCCCAGGCTTTATTTTAATGGCAGAATTGAAGAACTGATTAGAGGATTTGAAAAGTGTGGCATGCATTTCTCTTCATTCGCTGCCTCCTGTTTCCTCAGTGCTGAACAGCTGATGCTTGAAGGCGCCAGAGGTCAGTTTATGACCGGGTCACGTGGGACGTGTCAGGGTCTTGAGGGACGTGTCGGGGTCGTGCGAGACCTGTCGGGTCGTATGAGACCTGACCGGGTAGTAAGGGACCTGTCGGGGTCGTGCGGGACGTGTAGGGTCGTGTATGACGTGTCGGGGTCGTGAGGGACCTGTCGAGTCGTGCGGGACGTGTCGGGGTCGTGCGGGACGTGTCGGGGTCGTGCGGGACGTGTTGGGGTCATGTCAGCGCTGCTCCATGGCTGCATCAGGACTTGGCCATAGATGTGCTGATTGTTAGTAGAAGTTCAGGATGGATTAGGCTGTTAAATGAGGCTGGAAACAGCTGAGGGCTTAAATTCAGGCTTTCTCTCCTCCTCCTCGCCAATAAAAGGCGCCACTTGATATTTACACAAACTCCTTAATTACTGCGGCAGCAGAGGAAGACGTGATGGAGGCCAGGAGAAAATCTCCTCCTACCTTTGTTTTTCTTCCCGCTCTGGAATCTGCATCTGTGCCGCAGAGGCTGAATGCCGACAGGCCTCGCCAAGATGTCTGACCTCGGTGGGCAGGCGGGCTGTGGGGGGGTCAGCGGAGCTCGGTCCAAACTTTGCGGTGGAATCTGAGGGGAACAGGAGGCTTACTGTAGCAGAGCTGAATATGAAGATGAATGTTTATGTCCGATTAGCAATGCATGCTCTGATCATGGGAGAGTGGAAACTGAACCCGACTGGCTTAGTCCTGATCCGGCTGCAGAGCCACGACACATGCCCCCCCTCCCCCCATGGCACCCAGAACACGGACCACACTCGCACACGGTGCCATCATCTCTACCACTGACAAGATGGCCGTTATTTGCAGCCTGTTCGTCACAGCGTTCCCTCTCAGGTCATCTGAAATCCGTCTTCATCTGGAGGATTCCTCAGATTGAAGGCATTGCTTTCATCATGGTTTTTTCCTACCCAAAAAGAGCATGATAGGTACCATAATTGCTGATGATTAGATCTGTCACAGCTGTAGGCTGTGGAAGAGGATCAGTTCTAGTCTCTAATGGATCACTGCTTTCAGGTCCACGGGTCTGTGGGGGAGCCTTGGTGGCTGTGGGTGGAGGATCCCATCAACGATCACATCTACCACTCAGAGTACTTCCTTCTGCAGAAGAAGCAGGTTGGTTTTGGATCTGGAGCTGGTGTTCTATCAGACCAGCATACCTGTATCAGATTTGCATACATCTGTCACTATAAATGGAAGGAAGTCCACTAGGCTGCTTTATTTATCTGTGATACACTATATTGCCAAAAGTATTTGCTCACCTGCCTTGACTCACATATTAGCTTAAGTGACATCCCGTTCCTAATCCATAGGGTTCAATATGACGTCGGTCCACCCTTTGCAGCTAGAACAGCTTCAACTCTTCTGGGAAGGCTGTCCACAAGGTTTAGGAGTGTGTTTATGGGAATTTTTGACCATTCTTCCAGAAGCGCATTTGTGAGGTCGCACACTGATGTTGGACGAGAAGGCCTGGCTCTCAGTCTCCGCTCTAATTCATCCCAAAGGTGTTCTATCGGGTTGAGGTCAGGACTCTGTGCAGGCCAGTCAAGTTCATCCACACCAGACTCTGTCATCCATGTCTTTATGGACCTTGCTTTGTGCACTGGTGCACAGTCATGTTGGAAGAGGAAGGGGCCAGCTCCAAACTGTTCCCACAAAGTTGGGAGCATGGAATTGTCCAAAATGTCTTGGTATGCTGAAGCATTCAGAGTTCCTTTCACTGGAACTAAGGGGCCAAGCCCAGCTCCTGAAAAACAACCCCACACCATAATCCCCCCTCCACCAAACTTTACACTTGGCACAATGCAGTCAGACAAGTACCGTTCTCCTGGCAACCGCCAAACCCAGACCCGTCCATCAGATTGCCAGATGGAGAAGCGCGATTCGTCACTCCAGAGAACGCGTCTCCACTGCTCTAGAGTCCAGTGGCGGCGTGCTTTACACCACCGCATCCGACGCTTTGCATTGCACTTGGTGATGTATGGCTTGGATGCAGCTGCTCGACCATGGAAACCCATTCCATGAAGCTCTCTGCGCACTGTTCTTGAGCTAATCTGAAGGCCACATGAAGTTTGGAGGTCTGTAGTGATTGACTCTGCAGAAAGTTGGCGACCTCTTCGCACTATGCGCGTCAGCATCCGCTGACCCCGCTCCGTCAGTTTACGTGGCCTACCACTTCGTGGCTGAGTTGCTGTCGTTCCCAAACACTTCCATTTTCTTATAATACAGCTGACAGTTGACTGTGGAATATTTAGGAGCGAGGAAATTTCACGACTGGATTTGTTGCACAGGTGGCATCCTATCACAGTTCCACGCTGGAATTCACTGAGCTCCTGAGAGCGACCCATTCTTTCACAAATGTTTGTAAAAACAGTCTGCATGCCTAGGTGCTTGAATTTATACACCTGTGGCCATGGAAGTGATTGCAACACCTGATTCCAATAATTTGGATGGGTGAGCAAATACTTTTGGCAATATAGTGTATGATAAAGAAAAAGTTGTAGTTGAAGGTAAACACCCAAACTTACCTGAAAAAAAGTCAAGTAGGCTAAGTTATTTATGCGTGATGTAAAAAACAAAAAGTTTTATTCTGAGGTAAACAGAATTTAAAGCTAAACTGCTTTAAACACAGACAGCCTCGCTTTCTGTGTTCCCTACTCCACACCCTGACCTAGCAGCTAGCCTGTCAGATCGTTACAGTGTTTGCTGATCTTTCCAGGCTGATCTGCAAATGTAACAGAAGTTGTTTAAATGTTCCTTTCTGCATGCGTATTGCTATGGGTATGCTGGTCTGACTGGGTATGCTGGTCTGACTGGGTATGCTGGTCTGACTGGGTATGCTGATCTGACAGAACTCCGGGTGGACAGCACACGTCCTGACCTTGTTTTGTTCATCCAGGTGGTGACCAAAGAGCCTCAGCACATCGTCTTCACCATCCCCATCTTTGAGCCGCTGCCCTCGCAGTACTACATCAAGGCGGTGTCAGACCGCTGGCTGGGCGCTGAGGCTGTGTGCATCATCAACTTCCAGAACCTCATTCTACCTGAGAGGCACCCCCCACACACCGGTACACACTCGCTTTCCGGCACCATTTACAGCATCTAGATCTGTTTAAGTTCAGGACTGTCTGGTTAAACTGTTTATCCCATTGTTTAAATATGCCTGTGCTGATTATTCTTCCTGCTGAACATCTGCCCTGCATCAAAAGCTTATAAAAATGATGTTAGCTCCTAGTTTTTCTAATGTTGCTTTGCTGTTAGTGGCCATTTGCACCAATCTTTGAGCCTTATATTGACTGTCCTTTACTTTAGTTACAGACTAACCCACATTAGGGCCAGACTTTGGTCTCCAAAGAGCAGGGGTCTGCAGCCTGTTGACCTTCCACAACTTTGGCTAAAATTTTAACGGCCCAACTAAGTGGCTGATCTTTAAATGGTTTGCATCTTTAAATGCCTGCAAATGAGTTGGTTGATGTAGAGCGGATCTTCAAAGAAGGTGCAGAGGGATTTGCCAAACCTTTGTTTGTGTGTCTTCCTTCATTTATATGCAGATCATGTTCTAATGAACAGATTCATGGATAGGCGATATAAAAATGTAAACATGTACCATGTGCAAAGAGATTTTCAAAATAGGAAACTTAACTGCTAGGCATTCAGCAGACTAAGACATCTTTCTCAGGTTTTGTTATATTTTATTTCTATATATTTAAGTTAAACTTTAGTTTTTCATCGATTTTATTTTTAGATTTTTGTGTTACTATTTCACTTTGATTCAGTTTATTTCTATAGCTCCAATTCACATCAAGTCATCTCAGGTCACTTTCCAGTTCACCAGATCATCCAGTCAGATTGATACAAAGTTTTCTATCTAAGGAAAACCAGCTGATTGCATCGACTCATTGACTCTTCAGCAATCCCTCACACTAAGCATGCTTGTAGCGACAGTGGAGAGGAAAAACTCCCTTTGAACAGGAAGAAACCTCCAGCAGAACCAGGCTCAGTGTGAGCGGCCATCTGCTGAGGCCCACTGGGGTTCAAGGAGACAGAAGCAGACATAGAAAAAGAAGCATAGATACAAAAGGCAACTGTCAACCAGCTCCACAGGCGGCCCCGTCCAGGAAACACACAGCCAGGCAGACGAGCTCCGAGCCAGCTCCCATGTCAGAGGATGAAGAGAGCACACCCAATTAGTCACAGTCAGAGAAACAGGACTACACTGGAAAACAGGCCAAGCTCCAACATCTAGAAACAAAGGTGTTGATGGCAGCAGCACAGCTGATATTTCTCTCCAGGATGGAGTCACAGCCAAACAGGAACAGACCAGATGAAGCTACTATGAGAAAAAGCAGAGAGAGCAGAACGTTAGAGATTGAAGTAACAGATTCTGCAGAGTGGGAGAATAGAGATAGAATGAAGCAGAATGATGAAAAAGGGGTCCCTATGTCCTCCAGCAGTCTAAGCCTATAGCAGCAGAACTATAGAAATGGCTCAATATAACCTAAGTACTTTGGATTTAAGAAAGGTAGAACCAAGGAGGAACATCTATCTGGACTGAAATTCTTCCCCGCCGGGTCAGGCTGTTAGCGCTCTACCTTAGTAGCACTCAGAGAAAGTCTGTAAAGTTTGCAATAGTTATTATTTCTGTACCTCCACCAAGGAGTTTTCCTGCTTTTAGAATAACCAATGAAGTTGTGAATGAATTAGGCTGAAATGTTCAGAGACCTGCCAAGCTGAACTCTGTGCTCTGAGTTCTTTCCTACTTCAGTTTTATATATTTTTTCAAATATAACTAGCATCTCCGTTGCTTTGATCATTATGTTCTTATCCCCCTCAAACTGCCCTAAAACACAACCTTTTCATTAAATGTGTGGAAATAAGCAGGTCTGAACGGCTTAATATTTAAGGAACAGCAGCAACAAGGCTGCTTATCACACATTCTGAAAGAGAATCACATCTACAGTTTAGCTCCTCTTCTGAATCTATGAGGATCAGGTCTTTATAAATGTAAGGCAGATCTAGTTTCAGTAAAGATCTATAACAGTTTTAAAGATCTTTATTTCTTCTCATTAACCTAGAAACATTTTATTCTGATTGTCGAAATAAATAGTCATCCTCTTTTATTTTCAAACATTAAAATAGAAACAACATTATGGTTTGTTAAAAAATGAGAATAAAGTTACTGTAGTAGATGATCAATGATAATGATTACTAGTTGGACCTCAGAAGGTGGGTAAATATTGCAGAAAATAGGTTCACACAGCAGCAGGCAGAGAACGGCTTCATGTTTACAGACCAGCTTATCATCATTACAGCTTCTTCACTCCTTTTCTCAGTGAAGGACAGTTAGATTTTTTTAAACATCCTGAAATGATTTATATTGTTCACAAATTAAATGTTTAAAGAGTTTGAAAGTATTGATAATAACCTTAATGGAGTCTTTGTGTCAGATTAAACCTGATTCTTCTGTTGGGCCCGTTTCTGCAGAGAGGGGCCGGTTCTGATCCGGTTTCAGGTACCAGGAGTCACTGGGCTCAGGTTTTGGTTTCAGACTTCAGCCTCCCTGGAATCTCTCTGACTTTCTGGAGAAGGATTCTGTTCAGCTGTTCAGCCTCAGGAGAGGTGGATGGAAACAGAGACGGTCCATGTTTACCCACATCAGGGTTCATCTGGTCCCAGTCTGAGTTTTACGGCCCGAGAGATTCTTTCCTCTGTTTTCACAGGCTGCCCCCCCTCCCTTCCCTAGGATACGTCTTTGTCTATATTTGAAAGCAGATCCAAACTAATAAAGTCCATAAGAACCAAGTTCATTGATATAGATATATTCAGGTTATTTCCACAGTGGGATTAAATTTGACGACTGCTTGAAGCTGACTTAGTTTAACTTGTTTCTGTCCATTGAAGGACCGATGGGTCCCAGAGGAAACGTGACGGTGCAGCTCTTTGAGTTTTCTCGTTCTCTGGGTCAGACGGTGTCGATCAGTTCGTGTTTCCTTCACTTTACCTCCTCAGAACTGCTGGACCTGCAGCCGCTACCTGTGACCGCTCTGGGGAACCGCGAGTTTGAGAGCCTCTACAAGTTCACCCACTTCAACCCCATCCAGACGCAGATCTTCCACACCCTCTACCACACCGACACCAACGTCCTGCTGGGGGCGCCAACAGGCTCCGGGAAAACCATCGCAGCTGAGCTGGCCATGTTCCGCGTCTTCAACAAGTATCCGTCCTCTAAGGTTCTGCTCCTGCTGGTTTCCTCTCCATCACATCACATTTCATTTAGCAGACTTCACTAAAAATGATAAATCAATCCTTTGATTTAAACTTTGTTTCCAAGTTTGAAGACGTTTCTCTTCTCATCCAGGAAGCTTTTTTAATCCAAAATGTCAGAAATAGCGTTTAGTTCCAGGTTTTATCCAGCAGCCCAACAAAGCCTGGTTTTAGTTTAGAAAACATGCAAATAGAAACGGATGAACGGGTCCCCCCCTTTGGAATGGGGGTCGTTTGGTTTCTTTGTTAGCCTGCAATGACCCATACCTGCCTATGTCTCTGAAAGGGGGGGCATTAGAGGGAATAGTTTGCCTGCCTGAACAGGCGAGGTCTTCTGCTCCCCTGTAAAGGAGTTTCAGTTACGATGATAGCGGAAAAGAATAAACTCAATTGCTGTATTTTAGGTTTTTGAAATCTGAGTTCCCCCCTCTGTTTAAGGTTGGTTTTTCTTTCAATTTGCATGTTTTCTAAATTAAAACCAGGCTTTGTTGGGCTGCTGGATAAAACCTGGAACTAAACGCTCTTTCTGACATTTGAATTAAAAAAGCTTCCTGGATGGAAGAGAAACGTGGAAACAAAGTCCAGTAGATTGATTTTTTTTTTGGAATGACTCTGACCTGGATGACTGAGAATTTTCACCAGCATATTTTAGCAGACGTTAACCTTCTTTAGATGTCATCATTGTGGGTCTTTAGGTGGTCTACATCGCTCCTTTGAAGGCTCTGGTGAGGGAGAGGATGGAAGACTGGAAGGTCCGGATTGAGGAGAAACTGGGGAAGAGGTAAGTCCTTCTGCTCCTCAGCAGGATGGGAGAGCAGGCCTGATGTCTAACGGCTTCTGTCGGGGTGTAGAGTGGTGGAGCTGACGGGGGACGTGACTCCGGACATGAGGGCCATAGCACAAGCTGACCTCATCGTCACAACGCCGGAGAAATGGGACGGAGTGAGCAGGAGCTGGCAGAACCGGAGCTACGTCCAGAAGGTGGCCATTCTCATCATCGATGAGATCCACCTGCTGGGTAGGAGGCCGGCTTCTGAGCCCGACGCGCTAACCTGCTGTTTTCCAACCTAAAGGAGGAGAGTCTGTGCTGAACAGGCGGCCCGCTGTCCTCTGTGTGTGTGTGTGCAGGTGAGGACCGAGGCCCCGTGTTGGAGGTCATTGTCTCCAGGACCAACTTCATCTCCTCCCACACCTCTAAGAGCGTCAGAGTGGTGGGTCTGTCTACGGCTCTGGCCAACGCTCGGGACCTGGCTGACTGGCTGGGAATCCAACAGGTGAGCCTCGGCCTGACCGATCAGCTCTGATCATATCGGATTATAATCTGCAGGAAATGCAGGGCAGAAGTCATATTTAAATGACAAATCATTCTGGCTTAAACATGTATATAAATGTTCTCTTTATCAGACGATATTGTCCCAAAAGTTAGAAAAAATTCTGTCTTAAAATCTGTGTTTTTTATTTATTATCTTCTGCAGGCCAGTTAGTTCTACGTCAGCCTGAACACCTAAATTCGGCCAATCATATATCAACGGTCATCTGTCAATCAAATATTTTCAATCATAGCATCTTGATTCATGTGTCGCAGCTAATATACGCAACGGTTGAAATCAGAATCCTTTCCTTTCCCATTGAGTTGCGTCCCAGTGTCCACGGGGATGGACGTCTGTGTCTTCGGCAGGCGTAGAGCTAACAGAACTGGCAGCGTTGCGAGGCAAGGGCTCAAACATGTACGGCTGGAAGCCTTCTACACCAAACCAAGCTTCTGCCGCCCTGGCGTCCTCTTCCACAACATCTTCGTCCCCGCTTTCCTCCTCTAAATAAAAAATGGATGACGGAGGAGACTCATCCACGACCTCCGACACTAAACTCTCCTCCTCTTTCATGTTTCCGCTGTCCATAGCGTTCCTTGACAGCGTCGTTTCTAAGTCACCAATTTAGTGCTACTTGGTTCCAATGGAATTTCCCATTGGGAACCTGCTAGCGCTAAGATGCTAACTGGTTAGCAAGATGCTTCCCACAAACCGGCCACAACCAAACTGTCTTGCAAACGGTTGGAACAGCCGCTTCTCTTCGACTTTAACAGTTGAACTGCAGAGAGGTTTAAGGCCAGAGGACGGGCAGCAGAACTTAGGGTCACATCCTGTCGCCTTGGTAACGTGTCAGGTTTGATGCAGAAACTTTGTCTTCCATTTTTAATTTAAATTCTGCAGCACGCTGATAGAAAACCGATGCTGAAGTTGTAAATCGTTAGGGTTGGGATTGGTCATCTCAAGGCCCTTTACAGAGATAGAGTTGAAGGATTTCAGCGTCTCCTTCAAAGCAGGATCTGTCCCTTTTACACCAACCTTCAGCATGTTATTGTTTTGTAGACTGTATGATGTCTCAGAAATTAAACATTTCGGTCTCAATCAGGCTGAGGAACTGGTGATTAAACCAACTTCCCTTTCATTTTAGGTTAAATGTCTCTTCTGCTCCACAGGTGTAATGTTGGTCACTATCGGCAACAGAGGAGGGTTTTCTGAATAAAGGGCCTCTGCTGTCCTGCTGCTGCGCTGTAGTTCAAACTGCAGCCAGACGGAGCTTCGGGTTTCCAGCTGCTGCCACTAAATGTATCTTTCTCTTCCTTCTTCTCTTGCCCCCCTCCCTCCCTCCCTCCCCCGATCCGTATGACAGGTGGGAATGTTTAACTTCCGTCCCTCTGTGCGTCCCGTCCCGCTGGAAGTTCACATCCATGGTTTCCCAGGACAGCACTACTGTCCCCGCATGGCCAGCATGAACAAGCCCACCTTCCAAGGTCCGTCCTCACTGTCACACTCGGGGCTCCATGTAGTCACCAGCAGTTCCTCTCTGCGTCAGACTCCATGACATCTGCTTGTTTTTTAATTAAGTGATGAAATTGAAGGATTTCCTCTCAATCATGACGGCTGATATATATATAAATATATATATATGTGAATGTTTCCTTACAGCAATCCGCAGTCACTCACCAGCCAAGCCGGTGCTGATTTTTGTGTCGTCCAGAAGGCAGACCCGTCTAACGGCTCTGGATCTAATCGCCTACCTGGCCACAGAGGACAACCCTAAGCAGTGGCTGCACCAGGATGAGAGAGAGGTATGTTGACACCCCCCCCTCCGCTCCAGCCACGGGGCTCAGGGGAAAGAAGGAGGCGTTAGATTCACACACCCTGCTTCAGGTTTTATGACATCTGCTCGAAAAGTGTCCCAGCTTTCTAATGATCAACAAAAGAAACTCTTTCACCTTCAGCAGCACCACATGCTGTGGACGATTCGATGGCCTTAGATGGCGAGAAACGAAAAGGAGATAGATACATTCTATGCATCTCAGTTCTATGCCAGCAGGCTGTTTTCTTGTTTCAATCAGAGGAAGTTTATGTTTAAATTGTTGCTGGTTTTAGTGATGACCACAGCGGTATGACTGGTTAAAGGTAGAATCCCCATGGCAACTAGTGCGCGCTCTTCTTTTTCTAATTAATAATATTAATAGCAATGAGCTGCTTTGGGTGGATGTTTCTGAAAAACGTGATGAGTTTGACCAGATGCTGCAAGAATCTGTTTTAGTGACGCTTCATTTTCAGCTCAGAGGTTAGACTCCACGCAGGACTGAGATGAGGAGCCGACCCTGATCATCCGATGTTTTGTGTGCACTCTGTATATACACAATGACAATAAAAACTGTCTAAGTTCAGTGTTTGACATTTCTAACTCCTAGACTATTAAGAGAGACGGCTAAAAGAGTTATACCCTGTGAGGGATCGAGCCGCCCAAGAATGAGGACACAGGGGTGATTAGAAAATGGGTTTTATTTCCCCAAAGTAATGAGAATCCAAACAATAATGACAATAAAAAAGGTAAAATGAAGGGACTAACTCAAGGCAAAAAATACCTCAAACTAACTGCACAAACAAACAAAACTGACCTGACACACAGCAAACAAAGGGAACAGAAATACTGTCTGATCAGACCAGACTGACCCACTGAGGAGGAGGTAGGGAGAACGTCTACACAAATTAAAAAAAAATAACTAAACAGTTTGCTTAAGATTAAACTTAGATTACTAAGAACAAAAAAAAGCAAATCACAAAAACAAAAGAACGAAAAGATTATGCAGCATATTAAAATGTAAACTCCATGGTCTTCCCCCCCATAGTGGAGCTCCAGATGGTACGACCCAGTCAGTCAGTGAGTGTGCCAGCCAGAGTCCTTTGCATTCTCCCAGTTGAAGTTAGTCCCACAGCACCAGAACAGGAAGCACAAACAATATTAAACCTTTGACAAAACTAAAAATTCAAAAGTTAAAGAAATGTGCGCGCTACAATTGGAACTAATGTCTTCCAATATTGTCATAAAAAAAATAAACAGTGTTGAAATTTAAAGTGAAAAAGTGATTGTATGTGGGGTTACTGACCATGTGACCATCACATACCGCTTTCCCCAAAAAACGCTTTCAAATCCGCGAACAATCAGCTTTTAGTAGCAGTGGGAACAGCTCACTGATGCGTTTCTACTCGGATCAAACGAGTCGGTGAGCAGCCTGCGTTAAAATCTCCTCGGCTCTGATCAGCATGCTGTGCGAACACTAGTACCGGATTGACCCGATATATAACGTGATACCATTGAACGCAGTGTACGGACGTTAAAACACTGCGCCACTCGCTTTTGATCTACAAGCAGAATCAACTCTGTTTACTTTGGATAAACATGGAGCAGCTCTGGTGAGAGGAATACAGGCAGATGTTAGAGAGAAACAATAAAGCACACTGACTACGCCCGGGCTCCTTCCATGTTGCTCTCCATTGTTTACTTTCCTGATTTCTATCGCACTGATGACATCATCATTGCTAACCCAGTGTGATGATGTCATTAGACACACAGCAGCTGGGGGACAGAGGCCATTTAGCTGCCAGTGTTGGGTTATTCGTTCACTGTCTAAAAAGCTGTAATAAATGAAATTTTGTTTTGTATGCCCTCTGTGTATACAAAACGAAAATAAAAGTTGTCTATGGCTGTTTCTGTCTGTGTACTTGTGCGTTCTCATGTGCTCCTGTCCTCGTGAAACATAATCAGCCTCAGCCCTAGTACTGTTCCAATTCACAAGAACAGCTGACCGAGAACAGACAAAGTCCCCGGATCTTGTTCTCGCCCCTTCCTCTGTACCCAGCATGCATCGGGGCAGACTTGTCCGTTCTCCGGACAGCATCTTCCAGGTTAGCGCTCACAGAGCTCAGAGTATTAAGTTAAAAGTTCTCTTTTCTGTTAATTTTGTTCAATAAAAGTACGTTTTAAAATCATTTGAGGCGAGAAAATTATACTTTAAAGCGTCACTATATGGCCCATTTACCAATTACATGCGTAATAAAAAAAAATGTACATGTTGAGAGGACCGTGGCGACCAGTGGACCTCCGAGGGTAACGGCAGCCAGTGCTAACGTTAGTCCTTCTGCAGCAGCCAATGCTGACGTTAGCCCGTCTGCAGCAGCCAGGGCTAACTTTAGCCCGTCTGCAGCAGCCAGGGCTGACGTTAGTCCGTCTGCAGCAGCCAGGGCTAACTTTAGTCTGTCTGCAGCAGCCAGGGCTGACGTCAGTCCGTCTGCAGCAGCCAGGGCTAACTTTAGTCTGTCTGCAGCAGCCAGGGCTGATGTTAGCCCGTCTGCAGCAGCCAGGGCTGACGTTAGCCCGTCTGCAGCAGCCAGGGCTAACTTTAGTCTGTCTGCAGCAGCCAGGGCTGATGTTAGCCCGTCTGCAGCAGCCAGGGCTGACGTTAGCCCGTCTGCAGCAGCCAGGGCTAACTTTAGTCTGTCTGCAGCAGCCAGGGCTGACGTCAGTCCGTCTGCAGCAGCCAGGGCTAACTTTAGTCTGTCTGCAGCAGCCAGGGCTGACGTCAGTCCGTCTGCAGCAGCCAGGGCTAACTTTAGTCTGTCTGCAGCAGCCAGGGCTGACGTCAGTCCGTCTGCAGCAGCCAGGGCTGACGTCAGTCCGTCTGCAGCAGCCAGGGCTAACTTTAGTCTGTCTGCAGCAGCCAGGGCTGATGTTAGCCCGTCTGCAGCAGCCAGGGCTGACGTTAGCCCGTCTGCAGCAGCCAGGGCTAACTTTAGTCTGTCTGCAGCAGCCAGGGCTGACGTTAGCCCGTTTGCAGCAGCAAGGGTTAACGTTAGCCCGTCTGCAGCAGCCAGGGTTAACGTTAGCCCGTCTGCAGCAGCCAGGGTTAACGTTAGCCCGTCTGCAGCGCGCAGGGCTAACTTTAGTCCATCTGCAGAAGCCAGGGTTGATGTCAGCCCGCCTGCAGCAGCCAGTGCTGATGTTAGCCCGTCTGCAGCAGCCAGGGCTGATGTTAGCCCGCCTGCCGCAGCCAGGGCTGACGTTAGTCCGTCTGCAGCAGCCAGTGCTGACGTTAGCCCGTCTGCAGCAGCCAGGGTTAACGTTAGCCCGTCTGCAGCAGCCAGGGTTAACGTTAGCCCGTCTGCAGCAGCCAGGGCTAACGTTAGCCCGTCTGCAGCAGCCAGGGTTAACGTTAGCCCGTCTGCAGCAGCCAGGGTTAACGTTAGCCCGTCTGCAGCAGCCAGGGTTGACGTTAGCCCATCTGCAGCAGCCAGTGCTGATGTTAGCCCGTCTGCAGCAGCCAGTGCTGATGTTAGCCCGTCTGCAGCAGCCAGGGCTAACGTTAGTCCGTCTGCAGCAGCCAGGGCTGACGTTAGCCCGTCTGCGGCAGCCAGGGCTAACGTTAGTCCGTCTGCGGCAGCCAGGGCTAACGTTAGTCCGTCTGCGGCAGCCAGTGCTGACGTTAGTCGGTCTGCAGCAGCCAGGGCTAACGTTAGCCCACCTGCGGCAGCCAGTGCTGACGTTAGTCCGTCTGCAGCAGCCAGGGCTAACGTTAGTCCGTCTGCAGCAGCCAGGGCTGACGTTAGCCCGTCTGCGGCAGCCAGTGCTGACGTTAGTCCGTCTGCGGCAGCCAGTGCTGACGTTAGTCCGTCTGCGGCAGCCAGTGCTGACGTTAGTCCGTCTGCGGCAGCCAGTGCTGACGTTAGTCCGTCTGCGGCAGCCAGGGCTGACGTTAGCCCGTCTGCAGCAGCCAGTGCTGATGTTAGCCCGTCTGCAGCAGCCAGGGCTAACGTTAGTCCGTCTGCGGCAGCCAGGGCTGACGTTAGCCCGTCTGCAGCAGCCAGGGTTAACGTTAGCCCGTCTGCAGCGTGCAGGGCTAACTTTAGTCCATCTGCAGAAGCCAGGGTTGATGTTAGCCCGTCTGCAGCAGCCAGTGCTGATGTTAGCCCGTCTGCAGCAGCCAGGGCTAACGTTAGTCCGTCTGCAGCAGCCAGGGCTGACCTTAGCCCGTCTGCGGCAGCCAGGGCTAACGTTAGTCCGTCTGCGGCAGCCAGGGCTAACGTTAGCCCGTCTGCAGCAGCCAGGGCTGACGTTAGCCCGTCTGCGGCAGCCAGGGCTAACGTTAGTCCGTCTGCGGCAGCCAGGGCTGACGTTAGTCCGGCTGCGGCAGCCAGTGCTGACGTTAGTCCGTCTGCGGCAGCCAGTGCTGACGTTAGTCCGTCTGCGGCAGCCAGTGCTGACGTTAGTCCGTCTGCGGCAGCCAGTGCTGACGTTAGTCCGTCTGCGGCAGCCAGTGCTGACGTTAGTCCGTCTGCGGCAGCCAGTGCTGACGTTAGCCCGTCTGCGGCAGCCAGTGCTGAGGTTAGTCCGTCTGCGGCAGCCAGTGCTGACGTTAGTCCGTCTGCGGCAGCCAGTGCTGACGTTAGTCCGTCTGCGGCAGCCAGTGCTGAGGTTAGTCCGTCTGCAGCAGCCAGGGCTAACGTTAGTCCGTCTGCGGCAGCCAGGGCTGACGTTAGCCCGTCTGCAGCAGCCAGGGTTAACGTTAGCCCGTCTGCAGCGTGCAGGGCTAACTTTAGTCCATCTGCAGAAGCCAGGGTTGACGTTAGCCCGTCTGCAGCAGCCAGTGCTGATGTTAGCCCGTCTGCAGCAGCCAGTGCTGATGTTAGCCCGTCTGCAGCAGCCAGGTCTAACGTTAGTCCGTCTGCAGCAGCCAGGGCTGACCTTAGCCCGTCTGCGGCAGCCAGGGCTAACGTTAGTCCGTCTGCGGCAGCCAGG